TCAAAGGCCTGAAGCAAAGCCCCTGGAAAGCACTGAAAGTCTCCACTGGGGTGCAGATTAGCCTGTGAAAATCTGAGCTCCACAATTTCCCCAGAGATTTCCCCTCGCCTGCCAAGACTGACAGGCCTGAGGACAAGCAGGGCACTGCCCCAAATGTTGGAGCAGCAGATTGTACTGAGGGCTTCACCCCCCTGAAAATGGTATTGAAATGAGGAGTAGATGACACAGCTGCCACTCGGAGCCTCAGAAAGGTCAAGTGGTCCTGTGCTTTCTTAGGAGCAATTTTTGCAGTGCTTCAGTGCCATCTGAAATGGAATAATCTCAAGGAGGCATTGAGAGCTCTCCCTCTGCTGTTTCCTGGACTTCAGAAGGAGATGGAAAACCAGGGAGATTTGATAAATGTTGCACAAAAGAAATAATTCTGCTTTCTCAGAGTGTTTTCAAATTCAGTCATCACGGGTTTAAATAGTTATCTCACACTCAGCTTCAACCTCTGATACACACAAAAGTAATATGGCAAGAAGTATTCCATATAAACACTCATTTGCCTCCTAGTGCCATTTAGCACTTGTAAAATAAGAAGGAACTACCAACAACAACTCTGAATGATGCAAAAAGGCAAGATACTGTCAGATAAAACACCTGATACTGAAAATGAGATGTGAGCCACTGAGATCTGGGGCTTTGGTTTGACTCTAAGTCTGAACTCCAGGAGCCTAAGGGGCTAAGAACTGAGAATTGCTGGGCTATAAGAAAAATCCACTCTAGTGCAGGAAATGTTAAAGCAACTTTTAAACCACAGCCAGGAGGCACCTAAATATTGCATTAGAATGGGCCATTGAGCTTTGCAACAGCACCAAAGGAAGGGGAAGTTATCCAGAGCACAGAGAGGAAAATTGAAGGGAAGTGAAGGGAAAATAGGGAAGAGAAAGATATGAAAAAAAAATGAAAGCCAGGAGCCTCCCTGCAGCAGCAGGCTCAGCACATCCTACACACACAGGACGCCCCTTTCCCAAAAAGTGATGGGATTTGACTCTGAATTCAGGCCTTGTTGTGTCCAGGGGCTGAGCAGTGTCACCTCCCAGTGCTGGCATCACCTCGTGGATTTAAATAGAAGCATTGATTAACTGAACCCCTCAATTGACACAGAGCCTCAAATGCCATCAAAATTGGTGAAGCCAGGTGTAAGATTAGCTCCAGAAGGCAGGGAGAAAGAAAAGGTGTCCAAAAACCAGCAAAAGCCCACAAAAGTCACCACTTTCTGCTCAAGTGCAGCTCCCTGGAGAAGCTGCACCCATGCCAGGCTGGGACATGCACAACACTGCAGAGAAGGAACAAACACAGGCCTTAGAAAATAATAATTATTTATTATCATTGCACCAGTCATTCTGGGTTGTTCATTCTTTTTGTGTCCAAGATTCATGGAAAATTCAGAAAGAAAATGCAGTACAGTCTCCTCCCTCTCCATTTGTCTCCCTCTCCTCATTCTTTTTGAGGAAATTGGTAAAGGCTCTCTCTTAGGAGTCTAAAAGGAAGGTATTAAATACAGACACATAAGAAATCATCACTTATATGCAGTGTTTTTACAAAATCTAGTAATTTATAGAAAGAATAGCAAAGTTCTTCAAAATGACCTTTTAGGTAGTAGATGATTTTTTTGAAGTGGGAGAAAGAGGAAAAAAAAACCCAAGAGGACTTTCTCATGACAGTAAGAAGTGCACTTAGTAAGAGAAAGCTGTTGAAAACACTTAAGCTCTGTTTTAGGTCTTTCTGCTGTTGCCCATCACCATGGTATCAGAACATCAGAAATGTAAAGCAGATTAGAAAAATATGAGTCTCTGTGGGGCTCCTGGTTCTTTGTCATTTTTTGTGTACATGGAATCCCATGGGAAGTGAGTCCATGTGTGTTGATTTCCAGAGAGGCTGAAAGCAAATTCCTGAGTCACTCAGAATTTGGCCTTGTCCATTTTCTTCTGGAAGTTTATTCCATAATCAGGCCCCTTTTTGGACAAGAAACCTATAGTTCATGATTTTTAACTGGTATTTTGGGCACTTTGGGGACTAGATAGGTGTCTTGAGGTGTCAAATGTGTGCCATGCTTCAAACACCTCTTTTCTAGGTCTGAACGGGTTAATGTTCTCACTAGTAATTTTGTGAAATTACTCAAATGGATGTGAATTCCTGCACACAGATTTTTTTTAATAGCTTTTTCTTCCACCAGAATAAAAACCCCAGTCCCTGGCACGATGCTGCCTCTCTCCTGACACAAGAGCCAGGGCCATCACTGTCACAAGTTCCGTGATGGAGCTGTTATTACAGAGAACATTACATCTCAAATGATGGGATTTGGTGGTCAGCTGGTTGCTCTGTGCAATATTATGTTTGAGCAGAGCTAACAATGAAACATTTAGAACCAGCACATAAAACATAAAAGCATGGAAGAACAAAATAATGAAGGGGGAGAAAAAAAAGCGCTTGGGGACATTCTCTAGTACAGTTTGTACCATCACACAAGAGTTATTATTTTTCCTACAACTCATGATTAGGAGCACTCTCAAAGTCCAGGAGCTCCATTTGACTGTGCCCAGCCTCTAGGCTACCTAATTTGGGGTCCCAGAGGTGGGGTCTGCTCCTCTGATGGCACTGAATATCCATGGCAAAACCCATAGGATGCTTTGTAGGCAGAGCTCTAGTCCTGAGTTATATGATCTGATCCTGGAAACCAAAGTTATGTAAATAAATTATCCCAGTGGCTGCAGGGACTGACACCATTGGCTGTGTGCTCTGCATGCAAATGTGCTGCTCTGAGGAGTCAAAGCAGCTCAACACCTGCCCAGCAAATCTGCCCTGATGGGAGCACCTCTGCCTGCTCCCCTTCCAGCCCTTCTGCAGTTCCAAGGGAGTCACTCAGCTGAATGGCTGGCTCAATCTTCCACCCCGAAATCCGGCAGAATTAAATCAGACAGTCTGATGTCCAGTAATTCCCATGCTCTCCCACCCAGACCAGGCAAGGCACCAGCCCTGAGGGGCTCCTGTGAGTTTTTCCATGTGGAAAGGTTAGGAATGGCTCCAGGCAACAGGGGAACCATCAACTATTTTAGTTAATGTATCCAGTGAAACTATTACCAAAGCGAGATTTCAAAAAACCTTCCAAGGGTGCAGGGGAAGTTATCGTTAGAAGAGTTTAGCCTAAGGTTTTTACCTTTTTTTGGGCACTACATGTTAAGTGTAGTGTCTATTCAAAATAATTACAGAGCCAGGATAATTCATTCGGAATCACTACAAAATAAGGGCGAGGAGAAAGAAGTTTAAAAAATTTAAAAAGGAATGAAATCAATGCCTTGAAGATAAATGTAACTGAAAAAAGTGAAAAGCAAAATCATTACTCAAAGAAGAAAAGTGAAATTATTCCTGCTTTGATGCATATAGAAAAGCATCTTGATAACTACGAGGCAAATCTGAAGAATGTGTTATTAAAAAAGAATGGGGTCCCTGTTTTTTTCTGTTGCACTCTCAAATCTCGAATAGTAGTGATTTGATTGAGTTGACCTCAGAGGAGACCAACCAGACCAAAAAAACACAGGATTGTGATGGATGGGGTGGAGGGGTCAGCTCTGGAAGAGCTCCCTGAAGGCAGAGCCAGGCAGCTCCACACAACCTCCCTGGGCACCTCAGGGAGCTCACAGCGATCCAGGGTCTCAGGAATAGAGATATGTTTGCATATTCTTCTCTTCTCTTCTCTTCTCTTCTCTTCTCTTCTCTTCTCTTCTCTTCTCTTCTCTTCTCTTCTCTTCTCTTCTCTTCT